TTGGTAAGTTAATTATTTCAAGAGTGGCAATTCATGGTTTCAACAGTGAGTAGATTGGTGATTTCAGCAATGGGGGTTCATAATTTCAATGGGATGTGGGTTAGTAATTTCAATAGGGCGAGTTCATAATTTTAACAGTAATGAGTTCAGTTTTTAGTAGTAGGTGAGTAGCAATTTCAACATGATCTCCATAGAGGGCAAGTTCATGATTTCAATAATGGCTTGGTTACGTTCACAATTAACAATAGATGAACTTCAATAGTGAGTGGGTTTATCATTCAATAGTGTATTCGTGGCTTCAACGGTTGGTAGGTTGATGATTTCAATAATAATTGAGTACTCACGATTAGCAAGTAGCAATTTCAATTGTATGTTGGTGGGTTCATGATTTTAATCATTAGTGCGATTGCAACAGTGGGTGATTCGTAATCTAAACAGGTAAGTTTGTGATTTCAACATCGAGTGGATTTGTAATTTCAACTGCAGATGTGCAAATGATCTTAGTAGCTAAAAAAAGTAGCGATTTTAATTGTGGGCAGTGAGCTCACAATTTTGTGATCTCAATAGTGGGTGGGTTCGTGGTTTCAATTACGAGTAGATTCACAATTTAGTGATAGTAAGTTCATGATTAAACAATAGTTGATTTATGACTCTGACAGTATAATTTAAAATAATGGGTGGGTTCATTATTTTAACAGCGGATGGGTTCACGATTTTAATAGTAAATGAATTCGAGACTTCAACAGTGGGTAGGTTCGTAATTTAAATGATGGGTGTGTTGCTTTGAACAATAGGTGTAATCAACATTTTAACATTGGGTGGCCTTACAACTTCGTTGTAGGTAGAAATAATTCTAACAATAGAAGTTTTCGTAATTTCAACATTACATTATATAAATTTATAATTTCAAAAAATGGTTATTCGCTAGTAAATTGACAATCATATCATGTGATATAAGGAAACATCCGTTAATTCTCATTTTTTTACAATAATAAAAATTTTTAACCGCATAATGGTTCTTGTAAATTTTATTAATCAAGATTAATCCAATAAAATTTTTCTTGCCAGTTTCGCTTCTACATCCACCAATTGCCCCAACATTCTCAAACATAAAGGAAACAAGCATATCATAATAGAAACTCCTAAAGCAAGTAACGTTACCGCTAATGTAAATATTATAATAGACATTACAAATTTTGTGAAGGTAAAGTAAACAACGGTTCTAACAGTAAACCAATCCTTGAATAGTAAAAAAAGATTTTCGAATCTTCCTATTTGATTAGGACGAACAGGAATTTGATAATTAGTACTGCTTAATGGTGAATATAGATAAATAGGTGGTGTCACTTTCGTTATAGAAGGAAGTGGTTTACGTGTGATCGCTGCTAAATTATCCGATGACGAAATGGAATTTAATACCGCTATCTCAAAGCGACCGAGCATCCTATGAACGTGATATTACATTTTTAAATATATTTTATATGTACCATGAGTCATATGATCTGCACGATCGGATCGAACGCACAACTACGTACATACGTACCTCCACGAATAAATTGAAAAGAGCAACAAAACATAACCGACAGGAGGAAATATCAAAGATATAACACTACCAATAAAGGTTACAATAACCCATCCAAAACAAAAACATGAATAAGGAAGATTCCACAGGATCAAATACATCAACGCTATCCAATTTCTTGTCTCTTGTAAAGGTGCAAAAAATAATTTGATTCCGTAATGCTTTCTGCGAATTGCTTTTGGAGCAAAGGTGTGACGATATTCTGCATGCTGTGAGGAAACTTCTCTGGTAGAATATGATGATGAACTACCAAAAGATCCTACTTGACCTCTAAC